TCTACTAGAGTAGGCTAACAGACCTCATCTAGATTTATAGTAGCGATGTAAGACGTGGAAATGTTAGTGGTGGGGAAAATGGTTGCCCACTTGTTGAATCTTGCTATACTATATTGTGATGTGGGGGGGTGATCTGGAGGGGGTATAGTAAGTGCGTTAGGTGTTGCATCCTGCTGGTGTATTGCTATGCACCGAGCATTTATTCCAATAACTTATATACAATAACAACGATAATAACTACATAATATACATATTACGAGTAAAGTCTAATAATTTATATTAAATAAAATGGTAAAATAATATTGACTAAACTTATATATTCTTATAACGTCGAGAATATTAGTATATATTTTTGTACTTCATGCCAAATGTTAAGACGTAATGGCAAATAAGGATGAGTAGAAATATTACGACAAAGGACTCAGTAAAGGAATTTTATTAAAAAGAAAACGATAAGCTACCTATAACCCGTGACTACCATAACATGAAAAAGAACTATGTCAACAATCACTCTAACCCTAACCTTTAGAAAGAAAATGGATAGAAAGGCTAAATTTTACATGTTTTGCTAACTACACATAATACGGTGAATCAAAATTTTACATATTTTTGTACGTCCATCTGAATTTGCACTACCTTATACATAGAGAGGTTTGCTTTATTTTTATTTTTATAAAAAAAAAAAAATAGTGCAAGCGAAAAAAAGCAAATGAGAAAAAATATAAAAAAAATCGGCATATAATGATAATTTATAAATGATAATTTATATTGCATAGGTCGTCAGCTCAAATAAAATATAGTCGGAGATCATGTGCTGCATTCTCCAATTACCAGTTACGTAGTATCGCCCAATTTAAATTTCTCGGTATGGATTCTGGAATTCTAATTTAAAAAAACAATCAGTCAAACGGCGGACAAGAAAACTCAGACAATATTCTAGAGATTCAAATGCTTTCATAAACATAAATGCGAAACACCAAAATATTGCTATAAATATATTTATGATAAGTTTAAATGTTCCTATAAATATATTTATGATAAGTTTAAATGTTGCCACGGTAAATTTAAATATTTTCTTAGATAACTTCTTAATAAATGCAAATGTTCTTATCTTAAATCTTTCAATAAAGTTTCTTATACCATTAAATGCTAAATTAAATGAGAATTTCTTATGAATAATTTGAAATACTTCATATTCTTCTATTCCAAATGTTTCATTGTCAATGATTCCTATTTCATAAGAGTGTTTTTTACTTGTACCAATGACAGAACTTTGTGAATTATAAGAATTATCTTCTATCCATAAATCTTTGAAACCAAAGCATGGTCCTTTAGCAGTACCCCAGGTGATTGCTTCTTTTTGAGAAGAAACACCGCTTACTCTGGGAATTGCACCATTAGATAATGAAAAAAGTGAAAATACAAAACTTTTTGATGTTGATTTGAACTCATGATTATTATAATCATCATTTTCACTCCAATCTAACGGATTATATCCACCAATTATTTCATTTGAATTTCGGACTTTAATTATAACAACAGTTGGTCCCATATAATCACATTTCTTATGAAATGTATCAACACTAAAATGTTCATTGCTTGCTCGATAAATAAGTTTAAATTCGAAAGGCATGTCATTAAAACGATAAGGCATTCCTTGTTTCTTATCAATCCAACTTGCTATTAATGCAGCGTCTTTAGCCTCGATGATATTAGAATCAAAAGAATAAGCTAGTTCTCTTTTTGGTAAATTACACTTAGGTTTAGGATCAGATAAATATTGGAAACTTTTTTCAATAAGATCATCTGGTAAAATATTTTTATATTTAGTTGTAATTAAGCGAAGTTCATCAAATGATAACTGAAAAAACCTAATATGAGGAATACAATTATGTAAAACTTTCTCAAGTTCTATGAAATCAGTTTGCGTCCATTCAGTTAAGTCATCATCTAAAATAGATTCGGTATTTTCAATTCCCCATTTAATTAAATACTCCCAAATTTCAATTTCTTCTAATCTAAGTCTATCAGATTTCAAAAGTTTAATTAGATCATCTTCCTCTATTTTTGAAAAATCGTTCGAATCAAAAATAACTTTAGGATTTCTGCATACAAGTTCTAATGCAGTTTGATATAAATCGGTGAAAGTATTATGTTTACATATTGTAATAAAGTCTCGAGGAAATTTCCAAGCTGATTCAGTTTCAAGCAAGCGTTTTTCAACTTTTTGTTTAATTTCATTTAATTGAATCTCATCAGCTGCAATAAAAATATCGAGAAGGTCAACGTTATTGTTATCTGAAAATACTCCAGTATAAATATAACTATTTATTTTATAGAAAATAAACATTTCAAGTTAATGACATGAAAATTAATATGAACTTTTTTTTTATATATGTGGAAGGACAAACATCACTAGAGATGTACCTCTCGGATGTACCTCTCGCGAGATAAATTGAATACACATTTCGCATATCTCACATGAGGCTCTATTGCATGTTATAAGAATTTATTTTTGAATATATGCTAAAATTTATTTTCTTAATTGGATAGTTTATATCGCAAATATCGTGGGCACGAGGTACAACTCTGGACATCACTTTAGTTTATAGACAATTAAATTAACGTATTTTAAAATAAAAACTTACTTTATAAGAATTTCAAACACTGTTGGTGAAATGTTAGGTTTATTGAAAATGATAACTTCATTTTCTTTCTTTACCCATCGTGATGACAATGCGGTTTTAAAATAATCAGATCTTGCTGATAGGATAATAGCATGAGCCTTAAATTCTTTACTATTTGGTTCTTCGCCAACTTTAATTTTTATATCAAAGTCTTGAGAACTTTCAAGCAAATTTGAAAAATCTTTAATGAGAGATCCCTTATCCATACTTGATTTACAAATTAAAGTGATCAATAAATGCAAAAGGCTTGTCTTTTTATAATATTTTGGACCTAAAGTTTAATGAGCGTTCATATTTATATAATTGATTAATCCGGTTTTGTTATTATTTAATAGTCGATTCTATGTGCACAATTACGCAAAGTAGAATTGTTAAATAAGTATCGCCATTTGTGCAACAAAATGCGGGCTTTCAAAAATTCTTTGTAGAATACACTTATGCCTGATTTGGTAATAACCAGAATAATTCATTGAAGCATCCCTTTTTTGGCCCTGTGTATATTCGTAATAATAATATCCAAATCCGTTAAGAATGCCGTATTTTGCGGAATAAAAATCCCGGGATATTATAAACATTTAAATACTCTGGTACTATACCAGGGATGCTGTAATATTTAAATTATGTAAGTTCACAGTAGCCAGTGTAACAAATAAGGTAGATCAAAATTTTTAAATACTATTTATGCGTGATTTTTAAATTTTCACTAAGCAAAATTTTGCATCACACCGGGTACTATAGTCCGGCTGTACGGTGGAATGGGTACTTAATTCCACAAAATACGGTAAGCGGAAACAAAGTTTCCGTTAATTTCCAACGGATAGAATACTACTGTATTATTACTAATTTTTGAAGCCTACATCCTTGTTTTCAATATTTAGATACACAGGTTTTCTTTTGGTGAAACTCAAATAAAGTAGCATACTCCGATTGCTTTTTTTGTATTCGTGCTCATATTAATGGTATATCAACATTTTTCCACTCACGTTCGGACTGATTCGAATCTTTATATTCCCTTTTTTGATTGTATCTTTTTGTGTTCTTATGCTTATATTTTAACAATTTTTAATACATTGTCAAAAACGTCACCGGATGAAAAAGAAAAAGAAAAAAGGAAAGAAAAAAAAGAAACTCATGATTAATAAACTAAACTTTGTGAAACGACTTTACTAAATCACACCACTGGTATCAATAACTTTATTTTGTATAACATAAAAAATAACAATGAGAAAATAAATATTAAACTAATATTAGTAGTTAGAGCTTAGAGCATAGAATGACATATAAAACTTTGCAAGGGATTATTTTATTAGAAGCTAAAAGGTGGGTTTCTAAGTAAAAATTTAAGCTATAAGCATTTTTTCAAAAAGTAATTAAAAAAAGTCAAATTTCATATTACGCCCGCCGTGATCTATTAAACAAATTTGATTCTTGATAAGTATAAAGTGTTACAGTTATGAATCACTATTTTTTAACCTCCGTGATACCTGATAACTATTTAAAACTTCATATCAAAATAAGTCCAAATTTCAGCATCAGCCGAGACAATAAGTAAATTTTAGTATGATTTAACTTTTCAAATGAAGACTCTAAAACACCCTGTATTATCCGCGGTAATAAATGGGTGATACTAAAGAAAACCGAATTTAGAGCGTTCGAGTTTGTTACTTAAATTTTTGGCAATATTTATGATATGTAATTAAAGTTTTTACGTATTACTTATGCTCCAATTAAGGTTGTTAATGGTTTGGGTCAGGTTTGATTGATCTAATTTTCAACCACTTCATTAACTTACCGTCTCTACCGTAAATAAGCACCATCTCAAATGTCAGATTAGCGGGAATAACTTGGCTAAAAGTCTCATTGCGATTTCTACTAATCTAAATTAAAAAAAAATGGGATAGAGTGAATGGCGTTTATTTATTGTACAATACAGTAAACCTTGTTTTAGGTTGCACCACATTTATAACAATATTTTAATCTTGCTCCAATCTGGGTTGAGTTTAGCCAAAAGTGGCTCCCCTGGCTCCGATATATATTCAATATACAAAACCAAACAATAATTAAATTAATTAACTTATTTCTAAAATATTAAACGTAACAATTTTTACTCACCGCAATTTATAACTGCATCTCTAGTTAAATCTGTAATTAACGAAAATTTACAGGCTTCATACATGTGTCACGAAAATTCTTTCCGAGTGATCCTTCACGTGCGTACATACGTAGTTTTTTATGCTGTATATCTGATATAGAAAATTATCAAGTAAAAATTATATTTATCCCTTAAACCATTTTGCAAACAAATTTGCTGCAAATTTTTAATCAAAATTGTTATCATTATATCAACTTCAGCAATATTTATACTGGGCATACTATTTGCATGAAGCTTTTAACTAATACTACTTTTAACCATTATTAATGGCGCCTTGTCTCTATTTTCTCTTCAACTTGGTGAAATAACCCCGTAAAAGTTACGAGTATATAAATTACGTGCTGTTATCTAGTGTGTA